ACTTTGGATGCGCCGCGCACTGAGGTCCGCGCAGAGGTGATGGGATGGTGCAACTTGTGCGTAATGTCTGTCCACGCGAGCAAATGTGTTCATAGGGCTCAGGAAAGTCCAGAACTCGCTCATATATGCGATGTAGTTCGAGGAAGTGGTCGTAAAGAATAATGCAAAAGCGCAGGATGAGGAGGCGGGCACGCCCCATCATCTCGAATCAGGGTATAAGTTGAACCTTTTAGTCATCTACGTACTTACGAAATGATGTCAACTTATTAATATTTCCAGTTTATTTTGGACCAGTTAAATTGAATGATTTTTCCGATTTTTGTACTATTGTTTCACATATCTGGGTTCTCTACAGAGTTTCGCTATACAGGACTCAGCACATGACACCTTTGCGCTGCTCGTTACTGACTGCCTCACTCATTACAACCCCCTTCCCTCTCCAAGTGGCCAAATACGACCCCTCACCCCTCCCCAACAACGATGTACCCTGATCGAGCGGGAGGAGGGGGTGGGGGAAGTATATAGCACGCATGAAACAGGAAAATCACGAAAAGTCAACCACCACTCCCACCACTCCTAGAAAGGCCAGAAAGTAAATACGACCCCTCCCCTCCCAACAATGAGCAAGTACGACCCCTCCCTTTTTTTTTACAACGTCCGTGAAGCGAGTCGGACCTACCTACTGTGCCAGGGTTCAGTCGGACCTTCCTATGGTGCAATCCTTGTCAATGCATCCGTGTCCGTCGCTTTTGCATTTCTGAACCCAAGACGCTACCCCCGCTGCTTAACCGTCGCAGGAACGCACAAGTAACCGGTTCGATTCCCCCCAACCACATCGTGGACTGGGGCAACTTTTCGAGAGCGTAACCCGCTACCCAGTGAGGTCACTGCGCAAATATGGTTTTTGGTTTTACATTTATATTTTCGAGTCTAGACCTGTAGACGTGCTAGTTCACGGGCGTCAAGTAAAAACAAAAACCATTTATTTTCACGTCTGTGTGAACGACTATAAGCTCATCATAAGCGTAGATTTGATTTCTCGGCCGTCAAATAATATCTTTGAATTTGAACATAGAAATCTGACTGAGCAATGTTTACATTGAATTTAGAATTTTTCTGTATTTAAACCCTATTTGGGCAAACACGAGTCACGGCGTGCAATGCTCCTCCTCTTGGGGCTCCTAGTTTCTCTGTTAGGCATTTCTGCTCAGGTGAATCTTCCTACTACATCTCGCGTTTGACACCGTCATAAACGATTCTTTCAGCCTGGACCACCAAGACCAGGACCACAGCCTCCAAGGCCTGGCGGTAACCCTCCACCGCCACCTGGAGGTAACCCTCCACCGCCACCTGGAGGTAACCCTCCACCGCCACCTGGAGGTAACCCTCCACCGCCACCTGGCGGGAACACGCCACCGTACCCCGGCGGAAATCCGCCACGACCACCAGGAGGTACTCCACCTCCTCCACCACCTGTAGATGACCCGTATGATTACTACGGCGAAGGATCACCACCAGGGCCACCGCTACAGTGTAACCCTAACCCGCAGATATGCAATTGCCCCCTTATAACGGCGCCTCCACCAACTACAACGACTTATTTGCCACCAGGTCAGAACATTATTCCTAGCTTAATATTTTTTAGACTGTAATGTTTTTTCATAGCGTATGCAATAACACTCCTTTGATCTTTCGGTAGCTTATTCAGGGCCAATTATTTCCTATTATCTAAGAGGTGAACTTAGCGCTCATGATGTGAATGGGCTGTACGGATACAGATCTAAAGTGGCCAGCAATTGACGGGTGTCGGGATAATAGTAGAACGCTCCGACTTATTTGGACGACTTGGGGCAGCAGTGATTCAAGGGTACCAAGCAGTTCCAACCAGGAGTGCGACTATACCACTTCATGTCGGGTATTAGCTTTCCACGTCTTTCTGAAGTCTCAGAAGGGGTGGGTAGTTTTCCTTCCTAGTCGTGAAGGGAGCAGACAAGCAGCGCGACGTGGCTCGCCTGCCGGGTAGTTCCCGTTCCAATTGGCATTGCCCTTCTTGGATTTACGTTGGAACGGCTCACACTACATCAGCTTAAGCTGTTTTTTATGCCTAATGTGGTTTAAAGCATTTGGTCTCTTATGTCACACTTTTCACAGTCAGACGGTTCCTTCAGGACCCACTACCACCTCTCGATACGGTCCTCCTGGGTCGCCGCCCAGTCCGCCAGCCACTCAATACACTCCTTCAACACCGCCCTCCATTCCTCCTACTAGAAACAGCCCTTCGATAGCGCCGATCACAACCACCACTTACGCGCCCACGCCAACACCACGGACAACACGTAAGTTTGACTGTATTTCATATCTCTGGAATGCGGTAGGCGTGGCTGCGCGCTTCAGTTGAGCGTTGCGGCTGCTTGCGCTCTTGGTGGGATATTTAAATTTCAGGGCAATTGTAATTATGTCGTATGACAAGATGACATTTGTCTCAAATCGAAATGTCCCACGAACCACCTGTTTTATGAAGGATTCAAATGAAGTACGCAGCCGGGCCTAGCGCATCTTCTTAGGATATGGAGTTCAAGGTAAGTGCTATATTTCGCCGAACTCATACTTTCAGCGCCCGATCTGCCTCCAACCGTCCCTAATTTGCCTACATACAACGATCTACAGGTGAGCGATGTGCTAGATTGTAATGTGATTGAGACTGAATGACCACGTTGTAGCAGTAGTCGGGTCGTGCACATTGCATAATCACTGTGGAATCCGAGCGGGGTCGTAACCAGTTGGCTTGGCCATTGAACCACCCCCTCCTCCCAGACTAATGATTTTTTTCTGGGGAGTTCTGGGAAACTGAAGGTAAATGGAAGTCGTGAGTGGAGTGTTAGAAAGAGGAGGATCGTTATCAGTAGCGGTAGCGGTGAAAGTGGAAAGAGGCCTGCTCCAAACAACCAACTCTCCACATAGCTGTGATGACCCCTGGGTGCACTACTCTATGACAGTTCAGCAAGGAAAACCATGGCCCAGTTCACTATGCCCTGGCGTGTCAGCCATTTGGGCGAGGCAGAGAGCACCTGCGTTGTTCTCTTCCACAGAGCCGCGGAATACCTCCACGTCTACGTCCTTTTCAGAATGCAGTCCTCTCATGTGCCAACACTCTGGACTCCATGGTAAACGACAATCGCAACAGGAGGAACACTGAACTCTTCAGGTACGAACTCTTATAGTCAAGTGGTCACTCCACTTATTTATGTTGAAGACAATCTCGTGGACAAGTATTACAGGTAGCAGGTGATTAATCATGAACCAGTAGCTCATAAGTAGCTGCAGTAGAGCAAGAGCGAAAACACCTTGGAAACCCTCTGAACAGAGACCTCCATAGCAGTCTGCCGGCGCCTTGGACGAGTTTGTCGGACCGGCAAGCTCGTTCAGCATGATTCGACGTATAATAAATTCCCGGCAAGAGCACAGGAAATCACCCTACGACGCTCCAGGCAACGCTATGTACACACGCAATTCCGCTTGTAAGCCGTTGTCTTGCAGAGTGAAAGTAATCGTGGTTGCAATGGTTGCAATAATCACGCGTCTCTAGCTTTTCTCGCCGTTTTGAGTGAGAAAGTGGTATATTCTCTACGTCGCGGCCGGATAAAGGATGCCAAATGCACGAAGGCATGCGGGACACTTGATCGCGAGAACTGTCTTTAAAGAATCACTGAACGCTGATCATATAGGTGCGCAGAGACAACAGTTGCACCTGATTAGTGTTGCCTCCCCTTTGTAACTAGGAGGGACGCCTTATGAGGGACTCGCATTGGGTGACCATCTACGCCCATATTTCTACCTCCCATTCAGCGTGGGCTATGCCTTTTAACTGTTTATAAATTACAGAAAAGCAGCCAAAGCTCTCCGGACTGTGGGTCGACGCACGTTCCGAGCACTGAAATACCGAATTACAACCAGTTGAATAATACCGTAAGATTTTCTAGTACCCTTATGTAGCGCTCCGGTGCTCAGCAGCGCTTTGACATCGCCTAGTCAGCGATGTCAAACTCACTCCTGACTGCTTTGTGTACTGTATATATTGAACACTTTCCTAGTTCGATGATGATGACGACGATGACAGCGGCGATGATGATAACCAAGGTCAAGGGAGCAACAGGCGTGTCGCCAGGGCACAACGCGTCATGGACGCCGCTGCCCAATGTATCGAAAGTTACTGCGGATAATCGATATTGAAAGGAGGCACTTTCAACGAATTATCCAGTACTGTTGTTTTGATATGAAAAAGTAAAAATTGCTCTTTGCCAGAATGTCTGTGAGATCTGATTGTAAATAGGTGACGGGTCCGTGAATCCACAATAAGTGGACGAATCCTCTACCTTTTGCGACCTCTCGATACCAGGATCTTGTAGCGAAGCATATACTCAGTTATAGAGACAACCAGATGTGAGAGGGAGTAGACATGTAGAGCGTGTGGCAATAGTGGGCGTCTTGCTGGCGGCAGCGCTGGCAGAGTATCGAGACTGCATCTGGTTATCACTACTCTCCAACCCTCTTTCCACGACTTTTAAGCAAAGCGAGTGGCATGGTACTGCATTCGCGGACCCTTTTTACCTCAGACATGGCAAGGATTTACGAGTACGCCTCCAAAGTTTGTTAGACTGTCCAAACTATAAGAGTCCTGAAAATCTCTTAACCTCTTAGCGCTGACCCCATTTGGAGAGCACCACACCATTCGCGATATTGAAAACGTCTATTAGGTTGTCACGGAAATTCTTAGCTTGGGTTTAACTTTAAACGATCATAACTTTCTTAACACTCATCGGATTTAATCCAAATAAGCACCATTCGAATCAGCACACTTTTGCCAATGTGGCAGCAGTCGAGAAATCCCATCAAAGAAAAAACTGGGTGGTCGAGAATCCACGAAAGTCGCGAAGGTCTTTTTGCCTGGTCTTAATTGATGAAGTATTTTTCAGCAAGGAAGTTCTGAAAATGTCTGAAAAGGTGACAGTCGGTTGGTGAAAGGTCTAGAGAATATGGTGGGTGAGGTAGAACTTCAACTCCCAATTCGTTCAATTTATGGATAGTGATTTGTGAAACGTGTGGGCGGGCGTTGTCATGCAAAAAGAAATCGACCCTTTCTTATAATCGTTGGCTGCAGCTACAATATCGGTACATTTGTCGTTTGTTCATCAGTAGGTTCTGCTGTGATGGTTTGGTCTGGTGATGAAAAGTTATAGTGGATTACAACAGCCGATGACCACCAAACCTGACCAGAATTTTTTTTCGCGAGGGTTCGGCTTTGAAAATTACCTCGGTGGTTCCTCCAAATCCAACCACTGTCCGGAACGTCTCCTGTTATCATACATGATCCATTTTTCATCACAGGTGACAAATCCGTTCAAAAACGGGTCAATTCTTTTGCGCAAAAGCAGTGAAGAAGGAACCTCGAGACGTGCCGATTCCTGCCGGTCACTCCGATTGTGGGGCACCCAATTGTCGAGTTTTTTCACCTTCCCAATGCGTTCCAGACCATCTGCAACAGTTTGCGCATTCCCAAGGCCCCTTACCTCTTCTGCCCTATCTCTCGAACTGTCTTTGGCTCGGATGGGTCAACTTCAAAAATCCCCTAAAACTCCTCGTCAAGATATTGCTCTAGGGCTTCGACTCGCTATGAGTTCACCGTCAAGCTGAAACCTCCTCAGACGCGAAATTTTATTACTTACCCCATGCCGCACACAGACATTCTCTAGCCACTATTGGCCACCACACCTGCGTTAAATATTGTTGAGCCTTTCGGATTGCGGATTGCCCCAATTTATAGCCGAAGAAAAAATCGTCCGAAGTGCTCTTTTCACATGCTTGAAAAAATCTTGAAAAAAGAGGGTTTATCAAGCAATGGTGAAACGGCAATTATACCATCAGATAGCGCAAGAAATTCTCTACAGGATGTGCTACTGAGAAGCAAGGCAGAATGAGTTTTTAATCAGCAGTGAATGTACAAAGATTAGGTGCACAAAACGCTAAGAACTTTCCGGACAACCTAATACCTAGACATGCAAGGATTTACGAGTACGCCTCCAAAGTTTGTTAGACTGTCCAAACTATAAGAGTCCTGAAAATCTCTTAACCTCTTAGCGCTGACCCCATTTGGAGAGCACCACACCATTCGCGATATTGAAAACGTAGAGTTCAAAAACGAAAACCTATGTGATAGCTGACTAGATACTTGATGGTATGGAGCCCATCAAAAAAACTTATGGTTGAGCGCATTGAGAAGGTCCAAATTTACTGACCGAATTTTTGCTCGCGAAAGGAATCTTTCACTAGTCTTACAAAGAGAGGCTAGCCTCACTAGGCTCCAACACTTTAGAGATGAGAAGAAGAATGTTTGACTACAATTTGTCTATAAGCTCTCATGGGGTTTAGTAGGTATTGACTTCAGTCTACTATTTTATAGATCCACAACCATAGGTCGTACCCGGACATAACTCCAAAATTTTGCGAGAAAAAACCAAGTCAACGGAATTTCGAAACTCCTTTACGCAAAGAATCATTTCTGTCTGGAATGACTTGCCACCTGTTGTGGTGAACTCTAACTCAACTGAGTCGTTTCGAAGAAAACTGATGAAAGTATTAATTGCTCAAAACTTATTCTAAGTGCATGGAGCAATCGGTTTCATTCAGTTAGCTTGATTTAGTTGATTCGTGTAAAAATAAGAACAGATACTGAAATTTGCGTTCATCAACTTGAATAGTGAAACTTCACTAGTGAAACAAGTGAAGCAAATTCGCGTTCATCAACTTGAAGAAAGCCTTCGACTCCGCTGAGACAGAAGCGGTCAGAGAGTTCCTATTCAGTACAACAGGATTCTTCGTGAGCTTTGTAGCAACCACACGACCAGGATCTCACCATTCTACAAGGAGATCATCATCGACGTGAAGAGAGGGGTTCCGACAGGGCGACACCATCTCGCCCAAGCTCTTCAGCGCCTCTCTCGAGAACGTCATGCGTCAACTGGAATGGGAAGACATGGGAGTGAAGATCGACGGTCGGCAACTACACCATCTCCGCTTTGCTGACGACATCGTTTTGATATCACCACACATAGACCAAGGGGAGTAAAAGCTGGCTGATTTCGGCTGCGCGTGTGGAAAAATCGGTTTGCAGCTGAATCTAACGAAGACGATGTTCATGAGGGCTGAATTGGTTCTGATGCCCCAGTCTCGCTCAAGTTAACATCTCTGAATGCTCTAGCTATGTGTACCTGGGTCGTGAAATCAATATGATGAACGACTTAGCTCCAGAGCTGAGCAGGAGGAAGCGAGCGGCTTGGGGAGCCTTCAAGAACATCGAGGGAGTAGCGAAGAAGACGAAGAACACCAAGCTCCGTGCCACCTCTTCGATTCCGCGGTCCTTCCTGCCTTGACGTAGCATCAGAAACTCGGACTCTACGAAAGCAGGATGAGAATGATTATGCCATTCAACGCGCCATCGAAGGGGCGATGCTCGAAGTTTCCCGCTACGCGCAAGTGAGAGAGGGAATGGGTCCGCAACTGCAGTAGCGTGCCATGTTTCTCGTTTAGAAGTGCACGGGAAGGGAACTGGAGGGTGCTGGTAAAGCAGTTTCCATACATTTCAAGAGAAAGGCATTTGGGCAAATCGTTAATGTACATAATGAACAGTAGAGGGTCTAGACAAAGCCTCGAGGAACGCCATTCTGAGCCCGGTATATTCTGAAGCAATAACCTTAAAGACAACTTCCTGGTGAATTCAGTGCATAATGCATGCGGATGACGTAAAGGTGTACTGCACAAATCAGCATCTGATGTTGCAAGAGGATCTTGATGCAGTACCGTTATGGGATAGGAGATAGGGGCTCGTCGATTTCCCAGATGAAGCGATTGTTCTGCAGTGTGGTGTTTCTTGCCTGTCTGCGGTCAATTTTGCAAGTTGTGGTGTTGAGCTAATAGAGCAAGCTATCACTTGCACATTCGCTATCATTTAGCGAGTACTCTTCTAGAAATAAAACCCTATCTCAGATTTTGACCAGTTATGTGCGCCCTACTCTCGACCATTGCCTTATGCTATGTAGTCCTCATACCCGCACCATGGTTGGATTTGTTGAGAGTGTCCAGTCTAGATTCACTTCGCGCATTTTTGCATGTGATGGTATGTTTCATGTTTCATATATAGGCTGGAGTACCTCAAGGGAAAACTCGCTAGAAATGAGAAGAAAGTCAAGCGAGCAGAAGCATGTAAGCAACATTTCCGCTGGGTTAGTAGACTTCGATTTTATGCCCTATTCAAGACATCTTCAATAACTGGTCGCACTAATTCAACCGATATAAACTCATTAAATTGAAATAAAGTCAGCACGGCTTTGTAA